GAGGGTCTGTCTCTGTCATGAAGAGAAGTCATGTATCTGCTGCTGTTGTTTTATTGTCATTATTGTTATTTGTAATATTATTTGTATGAGTAGTAACATTCTGAGTAACAAAAATCATTGTACACATGCTGTGTAGTAAACGTAGTTTATTTAATATAAGAACAGGCTGACGATGGGTCTGGCTCAGAGCAAGGCAGCTCCGGGCGGGCGAGAGCCGGGGAGAGGCAGGGAGAGGCGAGCGAGAGCCGGGGAGAGGCAGGGAGAGGCGAGCGAGAGGCAGGGAGAGGCGAGAGCCGGGGAGAGGCAGGGAGAGGCGAGCGAGAGGCAGGGAGAGGCAGGGAGAGGCGAGAGCCGGGGTTTGAGAACTCAGACTGGGCAAGTGACATGCGGAAGTACCGCTGAAAGCGAAACTCCTCCGTACGCAGCTCCTGGAGTAAATGACGGAACTCTGCAAACACTGCAGCCTCTCAAGTCTGTGGTGAACCCAGAACATGTTTTGTTGAAGCCCTACAACAACGTTATTTTGCTTTATATAACAAATAAAGGCTCGCTGCTCATTGAAAAATCCACCGCTGTCCTGACTACAGGCAACAGAGAAGCTCCTCCCACCGGCGTCAGGCGCGTCACTCGCGTCAAAAGCTTCAAGCACCAAAATGACAAAACTATCCCGGCGTCAGTTGAAGCGCGTCAAAAGCTTTTTGAAGCTTTTGGTCTGAACGCGCCTTTACACACGCTTCAAAGCTTCCTCACGTTTCGCACAAACTTGCTCGTGGGTGTTGCATGTATGTTTTTTTTCATTGGGGCGCGACTTTGCCCGACAGCTCTTTTACAACTATCGTAATGCATCATGGGATTACCCTCGAGATGGTGGTTTTTAAGGATGTGAGGGCCCTCGCCTCTTCTCCCTAAGTATTGGGACACCCTACAACCCCCCCGGGCACGCACAAAATCTAGCGCAAGGGTGCTTCTTAAGGGCAAGGGTGAGAATTGGGACGGGGCTTATACTGTATCGACCTTTCCTGTAGAACTGTTGAGACGGCCTCTGTGCCTTGGTCCAGCGCAGAATCAACAGGCGACAGGTCCCCTCTGTAGATTGAGCGTATAGATGAAATGGTTGTTTCCGAAAATGCAATGCAATGAAATGAAATGAAATAAAAAACAATGTGGTATTGACTACTGTTGTCCAAAATTATTTGACTGACGTGTTCAGAATTTGGTACAGAAATAAGGCCAAGATTTCAAGAGTTCCAATAGTACATTTATTTCTCTTTACAATTAAATGTTGATACAGAACTCCTGGAGCTACTCCCTAAATCTCTATCCCTGTGCTCTAACTCTCCACAATGTGTCCTCCCAACGGTTTTATCAGAATCTCCGATGACGTCATATGGTCTGAGGCTGGTCCCATTCTGGTTTTGTGTCTCAGGCCGCTAGAGACACGCTGTTCCTGAAAATTATACTTTTATCACAGAAGCCTTTGTCCTCGGTGCTTGTCTGAATTCCATTAAATCCAGGCTTTAATATTGCACAAAGACATGTTTGCAAACACCTACTGGTTATCATTAGTATACAACATTATAATTCTACAACACTACCCACATGATGGGAGAACTGTTGCTAATGATGCACATCCAATGCTGGACAGTGATGGAGCAGTCAAGTGGGGCATCTTCCACTGCGTTTTGTAAACAACAAATCTATTACTGGGCCGACAGTGGCTAAGTTGCTAGAGCATTGGTCTTCACATCACAACAAATGGCCATCATATTTTTAGTGTCAGTACTAAAAACGAGACATTTTACCCCTGTATGCCTTCAGGGTACTGTTTCACATTGCCATAATAGCCGTGCTGATGTTGGAACATATTTCTTCAATACAATACAATTTATTCTTGTACTGTATAGCCCTAAATCAAAACAGTAGTCAACTCAGAGGACTTAACAAAACCGTTGAAATTGTCAACACAGATCAGAGAATCAACAGTTAAGACACAAAAAATATAGAACACATACTGTATTGTTCCATAAGGAGACCAATGTCCATGAATGTTGATAAATGTCATTAGAATGTTAAAGTTTCCTGGATCATCAGCACAGTCCTTCTTGTTAGACACTAATTGTCCAACAGTCCTGCATCGGCAAGGAAAAATTCTAAAACCCCAATGGGAGAAAAGTTAGAAACCTGATGAGGGAGATCCACATTAAGAGAGGGGGCGGCTACACACGGACAGACGGGATACAGGACCAAGACCACGCAGCGGCCTCAAAACATCAACAGGTCCGGTGCAGGACTGAAGCAGCTCCCAGGTGGGTCGGGCAGGGAAGTGCGCAGGTGTAGATGGAGGAGGCCTGGTTCAGAGGTGCCGTTGTCGCACCATGAAACAGAGAATGGTACAACAGAGCGTATCAGCAGATTGTGAAAGAAAGAGGCACTGACACAACCCAATATGTTGCCCTTTCAGTTAGATTACACTTTGATATAAAGACTAAAAGACACATTTCCCAAATTTTCCTTTTTGTCAAGGCCAATGGTAATGAAGCATGATTTTCACATATTACCTGTGAGATTAGCACGACGCGGTAAGTTCAGGCAACTTGGAACGGTGGAGGGCGGGACATCGAAATGAAAACAATAACAAGATTAAAGGGCTGCACATCCAATTTTGGCCACCTGAATCTCTTCTCTTGGAGCGAGAATATTTTGAAATGCATTTAAACGGACAGGGGAGATTGGATGAGCGAGAAAGGACGATGTTACAGGCACCTTTTCTTGAGGTGAAGATTGTAGTGATCAGGGTAATAAATGAGATCGGAAAGCGTCAGGTCTCTGGAAGGATTAAAGACAGCACAAGCCGAGGAAAATTCACTTACGCAGAGAAATCCGAAGAATGTGAGGAGAAAAACGTTGGACAAAAGGGTAGCTAAATACAAAGAATATTTAGAAAACTGTAACTCAAAGATGAGACGCTGGAGAATGATTATGTGATGGGCAGTCTATGGTCAGAGGAGCTCGGAGACAAAGTGGAAATGCCTTTAAGTAGGAGCTTAATGGATGGATTTTTTAAAAAGAGAGAGAAGAGAGATAATGGCAACGGGCATGGAATTGAATGCCAGAAAGTAGAGCGCGTACGTCGGAGGATTTGAAGGTGAGGATTTCGGAGCAGTGCACAATGCTCGGAGCAGTGCACAATGAATGAATGAAAAGTGAGCCAGAGGGAGAGTCAATAAGGAGGAAATCATCGAGGAGATGAAGAACCGAGGGCAACCGCACGCAGTTTAGTAGGATTCAGCAGAGGGTCTCGGACAGCACATTAAATAAAGCGGGGCTGCTCTTACATCCAAAAGTGAGACGCACTGCAAAACAGAATTTCACGTCCCACTTATTACCCTGAACAGGTGCCAGTGCGAGGGGTGAATGGGCATAATCTTAAAAGCGTCCGCTTTGGACAGTCAGGCGCCGCGCCCAAAAGACTTAATGAGCCTAATGGCGTGGTCTACCGTGGCGTATTGAAGAGAGAAAGGCTCGAGGGGAATAAGGCTATTCACACTCGGTACGGGCCTGGAGTGGGAATGGGAGGGATTGAACACGAGGCGCTTCTAACCCGAGTACTTTCTCGTTGCGATTCCCGGCGAGCTGGTGTGGAACGGCCGGAAAGGAGGCTTCGAAAACGGACCCATGACATAGCCTTTCGACAACTCCCTGGCTCGGAAAGAGTGGAGCGCAGATTTCTTGAGACGTACAAGGAGGGGGGCAGACACGTGACTCTCACGAGGAAACCCTGCGACAGTCTGGAGAGTAAGAAATTGACAAAAACCCTATCAGGGTAAAATAATAAGGCACGAGCCAGTTTGGGCACAGGGACAGGTGTTGACAGATGAGAGCTGGTTAATTCCCGGAGGAAGACCACTTGCCGGGGGCCCGATGGCCTGCAAAAACTGCAAATATGAAGAAAAGCGCAGCGGTGATAATGACAAACACTGGTGTTAAAATGAAAACAGAATTAGCCACCTCAACCCTTTGGGAAAGAGACGGGGGGGGGGGGGGGGGGGACGCGAAGGCCACGTGATATTGATAGAAAATTTTGCCGCTGTACTTCAGGGCCAAGTCCCCTATCAGGCCCAGATAGGTGTCGAACTTGGCCCTGCACTCCGGGTAGGGCAAGCAAATGACATCACGGTATATCCCAAATGCAACCAGAAACTCCCCGATAGACAGATCACGTGACAGGACCGCGGATCTGATGACCGCTGTAAACTGATCCGAAGCCGTGATCTGCTTGTTGCACTCGGGGGACGGGAGGATGAGGGAGACCAGATTGACATAGCGCCCCGCCAGGATCTTTGACCTGAGGCGCACAGAGATATTGGGGTGAGAGTTGATGTAAGGCCTACCGGTAAGCGGGGCCGCCAGCACGGTGGCCAGGATGAGCTTGGGGAGGGCAGGCGTCTCCACTGGAGCAAGCATGGAGGCAGGATGCAAGGCTGCCCAGTCCAGGGGCCGCGTTTCGACGGCGAGAAGGCGGTTGGAGACCGAGGCGAGGGACTGCTGGACGGAGGAGAGGGCTGAGAGGGATGCATCAGACTGCGTGGCGAGAAGGTCCTGGGGCAAAGCCGTTGACGCCTAGTGGCTCGCGGAGGCCGGGGGTACCGCTGCAGACCATGACACTCTAGCAGGAGCAGGTGCAGACGACATCAAGCCCCTGGTGCGGCCAGAGGTCCTGCGAGGCATGGCGGGGGGGGGCAGGAGATGTAGGAGACGGTGTGGGAGAGCGCATGGGGCAACACATTGGAGTGCGCACCGGAGAAGCAGGCGTGTGGGTCTGGAGACGGGCCTGCTTGGCTCGAGCATAGATGGATTTGCACCGGCGCTTGCCAGGCAGGAGCGCGGGGCCTGGCGGAGACAAGGACGGGCTGGCAAAGAGTTGGTCAAGCATGGCGCGGAGCTGGAGTGAAGTCACATCAGGACCAGGCATTATTCCTTGAGCGGAAAGGCAGGCGCGGATGGACCCATCGTCCCTGGATGCCAGGCGGGCACTCTTGCGAGCGGACATGGCGCCAGGGGGGTTGAGACGACCCTGGAGAAGCATCGGAGTCCGACATAGTTGGATCGGACGAATGCTGCAGAATGTAAGTAGAAAGCGAACTGACTCTTGACTATAGTAGCGAGCTGTGTTAAGAGCTTCAGGAAGCTCTGTTTATCGGGGAGTGGCTGTTTTTAAACTGCTTGCTTTGCTGTCAGTGGGTTGTCAAAGGGCTGGCCGAGCTGTGTGATTGGCAGAGGCTCGAGGCTGGCAGAGCTGTGTGATTGGCAGGCCCTGGCGGGGAGAGCCGTGGCCAGTCTTTCAGTCTGAATTTGCGCTTCAGCTTCATTTTTTGTCAGTCACAAAGTCACGCCACTGAATGCCTGTAATGGCAAGTTGTCCTTGTACCTGAAATTAGTACTTGTGACCCTTTTTGAGTGCTGGTTTGTCTTTCATTGTTAGATGTTTTACCTAACACTCTTGTGGTTCAAAAACTCTGGCATTTCGGAATAGTTCTCTAATATTCTTGGCTCCAACTCCAGTCCTCTTTTCATGGCAGCAATTTGTGTATTCATGGAGCCAGCTTTTGTGCAGATGACTCGCCATGTACATGGCACGCTTCTCTGAAAAGGCTCGCTGTTCGTCTTGATCTTCTAACCTGTGTCCAAAGATGGCACACAGATTGCAGTCTTGTGTCTATTTCAATGGAAGCACATTGTTGCGGAGACTACTTCAAGGTGCCAATGTTCCTGGTAGTTTGGTTGAAAGCTGGTAGGATACTGGAAGCTGTAACCTTAAACAGGCAGAATGGGATAGCTGTGTGACTCAAGGTGCTTGATAATGTCCATACTTGCAGATTCAGGTGGACACTGATATGAAAGAATTGATCCAAATGGAACTGCACCAAATGTTGATTCCAACATTTGTAGTCTCTGCAATCCATGGAGAATTTTGCACATTCCTGGCTGTGGATATACTTCTTTAAGCTCTCTGTACTGGACAGTATGTGGGCATCTGGGAGTGGACCTACTTATAACTAAACAATCTTAAATAATTATAAAATGTATTTCATGGAGGAACAGAGGGGAGCATCGTTTAGTAACAAAAAGTGGAGTGTCGGCTTTCCAAGTAAAGGCAAATCATAAAGAGCCTAGAAAGTCAAAAAAAATTCAACATGGTCAATAGTTTAGAGGGTTAAGAAGCCTTTAATTTCTCATGGCTCTAATTTAAAATACGCACCAACGCATTTCGGCCTAGCGTGGCCTTCTTCAGGATGCAAACGGTGGCACTAGTGCCCATGTGACTTATATAGGGAGGGGCTTCATAGGCCCTCCTCTAAACAAGCACTCACAACCTTCCATTAAAAAATGGGTGTATTTACATCAAATATACAAGGCATACAAAAAAGAAAAGAAAAACATATTTACAATTACACATTCACAGGAGTAGAAAAAGTATCTGTAAGACAGTTAATTAAGCAGATAACCTAGAGGGCATATAGGCTAGAGCACCTGGTCTTTCACACGCTTGTACCACGCAGCACTCCTTACCCTTTGTTTTTTGACAAAAAAACAAAACTTCCTCCCCTGAGGAAGCTAAATGCCTCTTATGAGAGAATATTTTTTATGGAAAATGACTTTGAAAGTCACCAAGATAGGCTTTGTAAAGAGCGCTTTTGACACCACTTCTCACAACCTTATTCTTCATTGTGGATTTTTTTCACCACCAGTTTTAAAGCTGCACTAACTGACTTTGGGATTTTGAAGCAGCAGACTCACTGGCCTCGCTCTTTCTGCTCCCCTCCCCGCACCCACGAAGCTATCGCCCCCCACACACACCCACTGTTGTTGACGAAGCTAGCGTCTTCCAATATGGATAAACCATGGATATGGATTTGCACGTGGATGCCGTGACCATAGAACGATAGAACCGGGAAGCGCGGAGGAACGAGACTTTCTTTTGGATGGCTGTCTCGCTGTGTAAGCAGTAACCGGTGACGAAGACACACGAAGCTTCAGGTTAGCTCCGCCACTTGTTGTGCTAACTCAGCTGTCTGTGCTAACGGACCTGTAGATTTCTTACGAAAGTGGGGGCTAGTGGTCCGCTGTGATTGGTCACAATTTGCGACCCGAAACACATTCTCTTCCTTGTTTCATCAAAACTCAATCTAAAATATTATGTTACGCCAGTACAAATCTGCGCTACTTTTTCTTCAAAAGGAGGTATATCCCAATGCACTGCATGGACATGGATAGCATTTTCGTAATGAATACAAAAATAAAGTCAGTTAGTGCAGCTTTAATTCCCAGTGTGCGGCTCGCACACCAGGTGATTCCATAATGCCCTTCCATCTGTACATGAGCATGACATTCCTTGCATCTTTGGGATACTATATGAAAGGAAGTTTATCTGTGAAGTGAAAAAAAAGATTGAGTATTTGAGTACTAATTGTCAATTTACTGACCCTCCCTTTCAAAGAAACCTATTTTAGCTACACTCAAAGTGATGAAACCTGACGATCTTCCCCTCACTGTGACCTCACCCTGAACTACATTAGATACTGACGGATATAATCTTGTTAGAATATAGAATTTCTTGCTTGAAAATATATTATTTGAGAAACAATTTAAAACATTTCCTAGCCTTTTCTCAATATATTACCCAATCCTAACAATACATTCACCCTGGAAGTTGAAAATATGTCCTTCATTAAAGAATTTGTAACCTTTGTTCCAGTTTGGAACATTTTGTCAATGAATATTTGTCCACGATCCTCAGGATATCAACAACTTGTATTTGAGGAAGAATCAAAAGTGATATTGTAAATTCAATGTGAAATTTTCTCGCCGCAAACTAAAAAGAAAGAAAAAACAAAGAAATTGTGCATCCTGACGATCGTAAAAAGACGGCATTCACCACTCCCCTTGGACTTTTTGAGTTTGAACGTATGCCGTTTGGTTTATGCAATGCACCCTCCACTTTTCAACGGCTCATGCAGAATTGTCTGAATGGCCAAATAGCAGAATCCTTATTGGTCTACCTTGATGACATAATATTTTTTTCTGCTGATTTCTCCTCCCATCTACAGCACCTGGACCAGGTGTTTGAACGGTTGCAGCGACATGGACTGAAGCTCAAGCCAACAAAGTGCAAGCTTTTTCAACGAGAAGTAACGTTCCTGGGACATGTGGTGGACTGGGATGGGGTTAGGCCTGATCCAGGTAAAATAGAGGCTGTACAAGCCTGGCCTATTCCAACCACTGTTATGCCGTTTTTCCACAGTCCGAGTATGGTATGTTTTGACTCTACATGGCGTGCCATGGCCCAGTTCGCGTGCTTTTCCACAAAAAATAGTACCCCCTAGTATGTCCTCAGCGTTGTCAGACCACGTCATTTACGTGTGACGCGTAACTAGTACTGGTGCGGTGCATGGATTTATTATGATACCAGAGCAAGTGTTTAATAGAAAATTCAGCACAGCACGAGTAGTTTTTGAAAATGCTTATATCTTAAAAGAATGACTCAGACACTGTGAAGTCAATGGTGCTGACTGCTCTGTACAATCTGAATGGGACCTGTAGCAACAGCAGCCTGCGTAGCAGAGGAGGAGGGCTGCATGTCCGAGGATACTGCTAGGCTAAAGCTAATGCTAGTGCTAGCTCGAGACTCAGCTCACTCACTAACCATGGATTCCAAAGCTACTACAATACTACACTTAACACATCTATCACTGCCATCAGAGGAGGATCCAGGGTTTAAACTCGTCATATGGCAACTCGAGCAGTAAAGGACCGAGGGAGTGACAGCGGCAGCCATAGGGGTAGCGAGTTAGCGGCTAGGCTAGGCTAAGCTAGGCTAGGCTAGTCCGGACTCGGGTCCGGACTACAGCAGACTCCAAGACCAGACAAACAATCGATACCCAAACCTCAGCTACAATAATAATAAATGAATGAAACACAGTCTTGGGATACAATCACAGATTTATTGAAAACAAAAGTAAAGTGCAAAACCAACAGTTTACAAAGTCAAAAGTACGTATGTCTGAGACCAGGTCCAGACCAGGTCGCGATGAGAATACTCCGGTCACTCATTACTCGTTGGTAATCTCCACACTTATGGGAAGGGATTCTCATACAAATATACACACAACACCTTAAATACAAGCACAAAACAGAATGACAACACGTGGATACTGCAGATAATACGAGATAAAGCACAGTAGCACAGGGAGGACGTTAGCTTAGCTGCTATCGATAGCTAAATGAAGCTAAATGTAGCTAGCTCACTGTGTACAACAGACAATCGAACATTTACACAGTAAATACATTTCAGTGAGAGCTTTAGGGGGTTCGTAGCTAGCCAGTTATTTCCAGGATTACCACAGACTAGTCACAAATCCAGAGCTGGGTGATCTCCCTGAAAACTGTGTTGAGCCTCGAGCTGCCTTTGAATTCTTTCTTTGGCCTGAAGAGAGGAACGTGTGGACCTCTTCCACTGACCAGGACCAGGACTTTTGGGGCTTCTGTGCAATTCCATTTATCTGGAGTGAGGAGGACGTAATGTAGCCGAAGCAGAGCCGAGCAGAGCACCCGGTTTTAAAGATGGCGGTTGAGTTGTTTTCCCCAAAGGGTCAGATGTCGCTTCCAGTGACGACACTCGTTGACCAATTAGTGTAAGGCAGTGGGCCGACGTGACGTTATGGCACGGGTACTATGGGGATGAAACCACGGCTGAGGCAGTACGGAAAAGTACTCAAATCTCCCATTCCATCCACTAGTGGAAAAGCAAAATAGGCATAGACGTCGGAACTAGGGGTGCGGGGGGTGCGGCCGCACCCCCTCCGCGTGTGCCGGGAGCGAGAAGTTATCACTATCCTGCGTTCCTTGCAGCCCAAAACCCGCTCCATGCTGTCGGAGGTGCTTATGAAGCTCTGTCTGGCTAATATCTGTCGCAGCCTCTGAGCGCTCTTTCTCAGCCTTGCGCAGATTAGAGACCTGGCTACACCAGTGACGTGCGGTGGGGGATCAATCATGTGTTCATATGATTATACATCATATAAACCAACAGGACCTACAGGAACAGGAGCGGCTTATACACAATTTGTTTGGCTACAGCAGAATATGATTTAATGTCTGCATTGTTTTCTCATACAAAATGCAAACGTTTGTAAAAAGTACAAAGTGTGTTATGGGCCTTACCTTAGTTATTAATGAACAGCACAGACCACTTCAGTTAGGACCAGTTTCATGTTTAAGTCCAGATAATAGTTTGAGCACAGACATGTAATCCTCCATTTGGAAATAAGTTCAATGAGTTTTAAAAAGTAAAAAAAACGGGTGTCTCCTCCGTAAACTCCGAGTTTTGCTGCAGCCGACTCCCGGGTAAATCCAATTTCTAAATTCAACCTTACCCTTCACCTCCTTTTCTTATGATTCATATCATCATTGGAAGCAAAACATTACTCTAAGTGCATTTTAAATTATCTTAAAATGTATTATAGGTATGTTAGCCAAACCTGTAGCTGCCCTTAGCAGAAGAAGAACAAGAAAGGAGCTTTCTGATGGAATTGGATGCAGCCAAAGTTTGGGCTCACAAGCGCCCCCTTGAGGCTTTCCTCACTTACAAGCTGTGGTTGAGCGCGATTAAGACCCATATTTGCTTCAAAAACACAATTTATGAGCCATCTTCTTAAATGTAAACATGTTGATTGTAAATTAAATATTTTTGAACTTTTTAAACTGTGATAAACAGAGAAAACAGTTTGATAGCACCTCACAGGACTCTCCCTGTGAGCTGTTGCTTTTTACGTCTCCCAAGAGAGGCTGCCTCACAGCGCCGCTCTGTCAAATCTGCAATTTCAAGGTATAAATAAATGAAATAAGGCACAGCACAAATCACTTGATAAAGTGACCAAACATTATTGTATCCATTTTATTACTTTTCTTTCTATGATCTTAGGTGAGGGCCTTGCCTGCCTCATCTGACCGCACGTCACTGGGCTACACAACACAATGAAGCCACCGGAGAGACTGACGCATGAATGCGTATTGAAAAAAAAAAAGTTCAGTTTGATAAGTGACTTGCTTGATATATATTGTTTATTTTGTTTTTCTTAACAATTAAGATGGTATGTTTTTATCCAGTGTAATCCAAGTATGAGTCTCTCCCTCGACTCTCCCAACAAAAACCCGCCCCCCCTCTCAGAAAATAGTTCCGACGTCTATGAAAATAGGTGTGCCATACCGTACCGAAATGAACTGAACCGACACTGTGGAAAAACGGCATTAGAGAAGTGAGGGCATTTCTCGGCCTGGCAGGTTATTATAGGCGCTTTGTCGATGGCTTTGCCAAAATAGCCCCTCCCCTAAATAGGCTCCTCACTGGCATTCCCGCTAACAAAAGGACACAGGCTCGTGCAATAGTGTGGACGCCTGAATGCCAAAGCTCTTTTGAAATTCTCAAAGCTGCCTTAACATCTGCACCCATCCTAGCCTACGTCCACTACGACCACCCTTTTATTGTTTACACTGACGCAAGTAATCAGGGACTTGGAGCAGTTTTGTCACAGATCCAGGACGAAAAGGAACGTGTCATCGCCTACGCTAGTAGGAGCTTGCACCCTACAGAGCAGAATGACGCTAACTATAGTTCGTTCAAATTGGAACTTCTTGCATTAAAATGGGCCGTGACGGAGAAGTTTAAAGATTATTTGACAGGTGCTCAATTCACTATCTACACAGACAATAACCCCTTGGCTCACATGCAGACTGCAAACTTGGGGGCAGTTGAACAACGCTGGGTGGCACAGCTGGCGTCGTTTGAGTATACTGTTAAGTACCGCTCAGGAAAAAGTAATGTCAATGCTGATGTACTGTCCAGGTTCCCTGTCCCTGCAGAGACCAGGACCCGAGCCTACCATTGCAGCAGTGGACATGACTCCAAGTGGGGAGTGGAGGGACGCTCAGTCTTTGGACCCGGACATTCAAGTGGTGAAGAGGTACGTGGAATGTCAAAGATTCCCTGATCGTACGGAGCGCCTTTCTTTGTCTCAGCCTGCCCAGAAATTGCTTCAGCGTTGGAGCAAGCTCGAAGTGAGGGATGGAGTGCTGTACCCTGTAGTTTCCAATCGAGACACACTGGAGGAGTGCCCACAGATGGTGTGTCCAAGTGTGAGGCGTGAGGAGGTCTGGAAGAGTGTCCATGAGGCTGGAGCCCATTGTGGACCTGATAAAAACCTTGGTTGGGATCCGACAACAATTTTACTGGCCGGGCATGGAGGGGGAGGTACGACAGTTTCACCAACACTGTCTCGTGTGTTGCTTACAGAAAAGCTGGGTTGAGCCTAGGGCTGCCCTCCATCCAATTGCCGCAACGTTTCCGTTGGAGGTAATCGGATTAGACTTTTTAACCAAAATATTTTGGTAGCAACAGATTTTTTCACTTGGTTTGCTTGGGCCATACCTACACGAGATCAGACTGCAGAAACCACTGTTAAGATGATCTGGAAGTTCATAATTCAACAGTTTGGCTGCCCTGCGCATTTCCACTCTGATTGCGGCCCTAACTTTGAGTCTACATTAATGCAGCAGCTCTGCGATGTGTACGGTATAACAAAGAGCCGTACAACAGCGTACCACCCAGCAGGCAATGGCAGTGTAGAGCGCTTCAACCAGACTCTACTCAATATGCTTCGAACGTGGCCAGAATTCTTTTCTGCACTGGTTCATGCCTATAATAGTACCACATATAGTGCTACGGGCTATGCCCCATCTTTCCTCATGTTTGGTAGGCACTTGAGACTCCCTGTTGACGTGGGGTTAGGCGTAAATCCGCAGCAGGCACAGTTTAGTGTGCAGGGGTGGGTTGGGGACCACCGAAACAAGCTCTCCTTTGCCTATAGCCTTGCAAGAAAGAAAGCGGCAGGGGTAGCCTCCCAACAAAAGCGCAAGTTTGATAAGAAGGCTCATGCCTTGCCCTTGGTCCCTGGGGAGCGGGTGTGGCTCAGGAATCGGAAGAGGCAGGAGCGGGGCAAATTGGGCTCCTGGTGGGATCCTGAACCCCACGTCATTCTGGACATTGTAGGAGAGACTGGGGTAGTTTATCGGGTGCGTCCGGAGAAGGGCGGCAGAGAACAAACTGTCCACAGGAACTCTCTGAAGGTGTGCACCGTGCCCCCTGCTGACCCTGAGCCACAACCCGAGGCGCCACCCCTACAAACTTC